TTAATATAAAACACCTATCGGGCTACATACCAGAACGTTTTCGGAATAACTATTCCATGGTCAGTGCTATCTGGATTTACATGTCTGAAGCCACTAAATATTAGTGATGTAACAAATGTCATTTTTTAAACATTCGCGAATGCGAATGCGAATATATGCCACCGACATTCGCGAATGCGAATGCGAATATTTAGTTTTTTTTAATTTGGCAATTTTAATGTCTCCATCACTGCCGGCAGTCTCATTTGCGCGAGGTGTGTAGGCAATTGGAAAAAGTCTGTCATTTTTAACTGCTTTAAATTGTCCAGTATCATTCTATCATATTTGCTAAAGTAAAGATGTGAAACAGTTGTATTTATTGTAAAGAAGTTTATTGTAGGCGGTTAAGTTTATTGAGGGGTCGTTTAAAAAGGTATTTATTTATAGTCACGTCCGGGCCAAAAACGTAGAAAGCACGTTTTTCGATCTTATTTTCTCTTGTTATAATCAAATTTGACTTGTTATAGAGAGAAAGTTATCTGGTTATAGTTCCAATAAAAATTTCACGGGACACAAGTCACCTCCACTTGCCCTGCTCTGCTCGTGCACAAATACAAGTGAATTTTTAGTTAAAGTGTGATTAGCGATTTATTACTATGAGTAAATCAAATTATAGTGAAATATGGACTTATTTTTCACTACTTTTCGATACTGAACGAGCTAAATGCAAGCTGTGTAATATTCGCAAAACATTCGCACAAATTTTGCGAATGCGAATGCAAATGCTAATATGCAAAAATATGCGAATATTCGCGAAAGCGAATGCGAATATTCGTTACATCACTACTAAATATATTTGTGAAAACCCTTTAAACAAGACACAGGCTGAGCTACGCGGACGGCGTCTACCAGACGTACTTCCGACGAGATAAAACTAAGCCCAACCCCTTCAAAATTAGTGGAATTTTCAAAATTGGTCTAATAGGAGTCAAGATAGCCAAAAATATCTGGAAAAAAGGGATGGAAACTATGGAAATATGGACGATCTCTTTGGGTTGATATGTGCCGAGTAAGAGTCCTTGAAAATATCAGAGGATTTTTTTTTTAGAAAAAACGGAGGTGCAGAACTTCTTGGCAAACAAAAGTTCTAAGTGGAGCGCTGAGCAAGGCCGCCGATGGAAGACTACTTGTGAGTATACGGGACAGGGAGTAATTTAAAGGACAGAATAGGCAGCAGCATTGATTAGAAACCCTGTTACGAACTTGATCGTGTTAGTTAGAATTTTGCGCGGGACAGGCTGTCCCATTTCGTGTCACGCACTTTCCCATGTCTTGTCACCTAGCTATTTTCGCTATCCCCGTCCCATATCCTGCAGTTAGTCCAGCTGTCCCGCAAAGCTAACTTAATTATATTTTCTAAATAAGTAAATATATTTTTATAATAATAGTATAAAGAAAAATTCAAGATTTATATTTTTTCTGGACATATTTTATTTTTACACAAAGCTTTAACAATTAAAAAACAAAGTTATATTATTAAACCAATACAGTAATTACTTCAGTTTCTACAAGTTGCACATTTTCCTGTACAATGTATTGTGCAAACATTTCTATTTGTTTTGAGTTTCTCCCGTTTAAATTGTTTCAGAGGCTATACTATAAATTTTTTTATTTTATTCTGAAAATTTAGAGCAGGTGGTAAAATATGCTCCACCTTATAATTTAATATTTTTTAATTAATTTTATTACTTTTGGTTATACTGAAAATCGCTGTAAGCTTTCTTATTTTAAATGAAATGTTGGACTTATGATATGATAACATGTTTATTATTTTTATTTATGTTCAGTTTCCTATTAATTTACAATTTGTCTATACATTGATATTTAATTTAGGATGAACTGACAAACAAATGAATTTTTGACAGCAAACATCTAATCGTTAATTACAATTAAGTATCATAATCTTTTCCTGTAATATATGTATAAACTATTTGTATGGATAATATAAACTGTAATTTTTAATTAGAATCAAATTTTCTTAATAATGATTGTAGATATTAAAAATAAAGGTACCTATTTTACTCTTTATAAAATTCATATTTTTTGACAAACTGTAGGACTGAAAAAAAATAATATCTGATTATTTAAAACGTTTTTAGAACATGTAGAACTTTATAAAGAATAACTTTTTTCATAAAACTAAAAATAAAAAGTCATTTGGTGCCGACTTAATAGGACAGACACACTCAGTTCTTATTTCAATAAAGTATTACAAGTATTCTTTAATTAAATTAAAAAATATTTCATCTTTTGTCCATGAATGGATCGCAGCCATGGAATCCTGGGGCAGCTGACTTCCTTGTCTCTTCATGGTCAAGCCGAGTCTGCAGAAGAGCCTTTTTGCTATGACGGACGTCCACGTTTGTCTTCTCATTCCTCTGCTAGATATCCATCCAGTTCGTCGTCAAGGCGCACCCTTTTCTTGTAGTGACAAAATTTTGAGATCGTCATCGCCACATCACGAGGTGCCAGAAAAATATCCAACTTTCTTGTTTGTTGCTTCCAGATTGAGGCTCTTTTTCATATTTTTATATTATTTTTCTGAGTTTTCTCGCTGTTTCTTGTTCCAAGGAACGGTCTCATTCAGTGAGATCAAGGGGAGATCAGTGAATCAAATTTTAGGTAATTGAAGCCAACTACGGTAATACCAGGTTCTAAAATTGGAACCTATACTTTTTGTTGATATGGCCTGCATAACCAGAAAAAATTCTTTAATTCCCTAAACGAAACTTTTTAGAACACATGATTTCTTGATTGGTTTTCACTGTTAGAAAAAAACTGCAAATACAATAAATTGGAAAATAGATAGATTTTCATTTCCAACAAGCTCACAATATAGACTTTGTGTGTGACTTGCTGTATATTTGCTGATAGAGTAGTACCACCTTCAAAAGTAAAACACTTATCTACCTATTACAGGATCAGTAACAGTTTCAAGATCTAGTAATAAAAATAAGATTAGCAAAAAAGGTTATTTATTAGTTTGGGAACTTTTTCAAAAACAAATTGCATTCTAATATGAATATCTACTTTACTATATCAATATGCTTAAACTTTCGAATAAGATATGTGCATATACCACATCTAAGAAGAAAAACAAGCATATGTATGAAGAAACGTCTGCACAGGCGCTAATGAGATTAGTCAGAACCAAATCAGCAATACAACTTTTCACTATTTGTTTTTATAAATAAAGATATTTTTCAAAACAGGGGGTTTTCTCCTTGGTATTCACGCTCAGATAATTTCAATAAAAAACTACTTGAAATGTAGGATCAAAAACCCTTCGAAGTGCAAAACGATAAATGAGGAATAAATGAGAAGTAAGAAGCCAACATCTTACCAGACTGCCAGACCTTTCTTGCAACGAAATATAAGGAACACCTCAGTAGGAAGGATACTCTCCCTTCTAATAAACATAACCTTTATACTAAGGTTGGAAATGATACTACAATTGAGACAATTAGACCTCACAGACCAAACAGTGGTACATAATAAACTGGACTGGATATATTATGTACCACTGATCAGATATCTTGAAATGTAAATATGGAGACAATCCTGGTGATATTGCGAATAGTCCCCTAGACAATACCAAGCAGATTATCATCTTGGAAACACACATAGAAAAATGAACAGATTCATTAAAAGTAGATAAGTATGTTTTGTAAACTACAAGTGTATTTTTTACTTAGTTATCGGTTTCTTTTTACTTTGAACTTACAAATTTATATTTTTACTGAAATTTTGGTTATCTTGGTCAAAGTTTTGGTATTTGTGTTTACCTAAAATCATATTCATGGTTTTTCTTACAGGAAGGCACACAATGTAATTAATCAAATTAAAATAACTTCTAAAGATTGGCAGATTCTAATTGGCAGAAGATACAAAGAAAGACGTTGTTAACACACACAAAAGAATGGAAATTCAAAATTAATCCATCAGGTGTTTGAAAAACAATACTTAATCCAGAAGTATAGGATGTATAATGTTAAAATTTATTATTAAAAAAATATAAATGTGAACAGGTAGACATAAATTACATTAAACGTTAGACAAAATAATATATATTTAGAAGTGAAGTGTAAAGATGTAATTCAAAAGAAAGAATGATAAACTAATGGAAACAATATTATACTAATGGAATTCAATGATGAAAAACAAACGGGAGTCTAGGTAATTAAAATATATATGGATATCTAGTAATTTTGACAAACAAAAAATGAACCTGAAATGAATTTCAGGACAAAAATGTCTTAAAATTTAGAACATGTCGACAGCTTCTGAACAAGATTTATCATTAATTTTATATATGAATTTTCGGTATATCAAATTAAGTAGACTGTATCTGAGTGTACAGAAAACTGGATATGTGAGTTTATGATCATCAAAGGCGATAGTTGAAGTCAAAAAGTTCTTTTGAATTTTAGACTAGACCAACAACTTGTTTTGATCGCTTTAAAATATATAATTAACATTAAACTCAAGCGCATTTAAGTTGCCTACTATAAGCTACATTACCTCAAAAATTCTAAAACATAAAATCTATTATATAGAACTGAATATATGGCTCATTTTGCATTTATTATGATCCAACTATAATTTGTGTGCACTAACATATTTCCACGTGGTACTGAACAGTTTAGAACTAAATATAATCTAAGTACTTGATACTAAAGTACACCGTTTTGTCCACGTTTGGTGTAAATCTTTTATAAGAGTTACTGTGCATTAAAATTGATACAAACACGCCACGAAATGATTGTTATGCACATTATAAAGCGAATAAAGGCGTGTAGGATACGGTGAAAATACATAATATTGAGTACTAAAATAACAGCGTGTCAAAAATCGTAGTGGGCCAAGTTTGACTACACAGCCTACTAGATTTATATTTGTATAGTCGTGTTATTTGTCTACAATACGTATACGTGTAAATATAAAAGTGGTTGAATATTTACCGTTTGAAATGTTCTCGAATTCGTTCTTCTCTTATATTCTCGGGTAAATTTCCTACCCACAAGTGTCTAGTCTCTCTGACCATTTTGCCCTAAACACCACATTGAGGAATTTTTGTTTTTCGTCGCACAAACACTATTTCACAAAAAAACACAGCCGTTGTAACTTCATGGCGCAGCACTTTCGACGGTTTTCCACAGAATAACACTTCACATATCGACACACACTTCCTTGAATGCACATCAAATTATTTTTTCCATTATTTTCACTGATTTTGTTACACTTTTATCACTGTGTCGAGCTGTGTATTCACTTCATTTTCGCTGGCTCTACACAACATACTGGGAATCGCGCTTTTGCTTCGCTTCGACTTGAATGTGCTGCAACGCCTTGTGCTCGTAACCGAAACGAGCTACGACCCGCCGCTTAAGACAGAGACCACATAGCGCGTACGTCTACGCTTAATCGGACGGTTTCGTGTAGCACGATGTTGCTTTCCTTTATATTTCGTCTCTCTCTACTGGACTTTTCGGTCGCTGGTTCTACGCTACTAGCATTCCTACAAAATTCGATCTATTTTTATAATTATTACGATATATTGTTTGTTTTTGTCGGTGATGCCACGCTGGAAAATAATATCGATCTATTATAATCGTCCAATCCAGTCCCTCTACGCTTTCAGAACGCATGATACAAAAGAACTACGCAAGATACTGTTTTCATATAAAAATCCATTAAAATAATTAGATATTAGCGGATTGAAAGCTAATTATACAAGAAAACAAATGCATTAAACGTAAATGTGTAAAATAATCTATTCTGCGCCTAAAAGTGTCGCAAAAATATTTGTATTGTGTTTAAATATGTACAAAAATACTATTCTGTACTCAAAGTTAAACTAGTTGTGTATATTTTCCTTTAATTCTGCCAATATTTTTTGTACAGTCGATTTTATTACTTCAATAATTATTTTTTATACTTTCCTTTCCATGATATAGATGTTTCTGCGATTTAATATACATTTTTATAAGCGTCATAAACATATGCATGTATAGTTTAAGAATTAGAATTACTTGCTCAACTGTAGACAAATTGAGAACGACAATTTTTTAAAACAAAGCATACAATTATCAAAAATATTGCATATCCACCTAGAAAAATTCTTTTTCTCTTGGCTAAGATATTATATTAACTGGAATTAGAAAGTAAACTGCCCTAAAATTACTCAAAACAAGAAGGTGTAAGCATATTTTATTTTCAATCAAACAACCATTTTACTTAAATCAATCGCATTGAAACCACTAATCGACTTTTATGTACTCATTCTATATCTACTTTTATTTATTTTATCACAGGAATAGACAATAAAAGAAGAAAAAAAATGTGAAATTCTGAAAATATCACATCGTCTTTGAAGCTTGTAGGACGGCGAAACCTTTTTAGAACGCATAGTAGGCTGTTTTAATTGAGGCTCGGCCGAGTCTACTTTCTAGATATGGGTGGGTAAGGATGAATGTTAGAGTCGTTCAACAACTGTACAACGGTATAAGTACGGCGTTGCCGGATTTTGTATTTTTCCGATTGTACTACATTTTTGTTTTGTTAAAGAAATACGTGTTTTTCGGGATTATTATTAAAAAATAATTATTTTTTATCTATACTAAACTACAGATATGTTTGTCCAATAGGATAAAGATCTATTAGTTGAAATAAACCACAAATGATAATTGTATAGTAATTATTTTATTTCTAATAGATATTATTACACAGAATACGGTAGGTACCTACTTAGTGTACTAATCGTTTTTGTTATGAAGTCTTTAAAATACGTTTATAAACATACACTTTTAAGCGTAAATAAACTGATAATAAATTGATTTCAGTTTAGAAAACAGTTCAAAATTTTAATTTATATCAACAATAATGCTTTAAAAGTCATACGGAATGCTTGCGATATAAATACTACAACCTAACTATCCTATATTGTTGGGTTTTCAAGTGTATCAACATGTTCTTTAACAATATACCATCGAGACTGTGTGAAACGTAGACTACATTTTCTGTAGAATTTCCATATGTATAAATAGTTATATAAGTAAATATCTTTAACACGTTTCCTGCCATGTTGTAGGCCATCGAGGCCTACAAGTTATACGCTGATTACAGAATTTGTGCGATTTATGGAATATGACAAATGTGGTCCCATATAAGTTAAAAACGTTATTTACAACTTTGGGGTAATATTTATTGATATTATAATAACATGTTTTCAACAACAGAAAAATCAAATAATGTAAACAACCAATAAAAAAGTTATTTAAGTTCTATGTAATTCATTAAAACATCCTATACACAGAAAAGGGCCCTTGTCACAGCTTTTGCAAAAGGTGTCTAACTTTTTGGTTTTGTTCATAGCATACTGACGGCCGTTTTGCTCACTATTTTTTTTGTATCAGTTCTTGCAAATCTTCCTTCGTTGATGTTTACTTCCTTCTGCCTTCTGTTCAAGCTGATGGTGATTATTTGATACTCTTCGTGGTACTGTGGTGATTTCATTATAAGTAACTATATGTTTCACTATTTGTTTTTTAAAATCCGTCACCGACATGTTATTTGTTACAAGCTTATATATTAAAAAAATGTCTAACTGATGTAGTTAATAATAATTTTATTCAAACCCCACTTTTTTAAACCATTTTACACATTTCCTAAGGGGGTTGGAATACGCTCCCATTTGGTCAGATAAGTCTACTGCCGCTTTGCCTTTGTTGTAATCTATTACCACCTTGGGTTTTAGTTTAGTTTATCGATTACAAGATACTTCGACCATTTCATTGCCGTGTTTAGTAGAAAGCATGTAAATATTTCTTTTGTCTTTCCAGTTCGTAATGGTCACTCCATCATCATTTTCCATAGTAGCAATCTGCCCTTATTTAATTCTGCAGCTACTACTTCTTGAGGTAAATATTTTCGATTTTTTCGGACAGTTCCTATCAGGTGTGTATCGACGGACAACATTTTCTTTGCTAGCGGTAAACTTGTATACAAATAATTGTCGGTTATCAGCGTTCTTCCTTGATGTACTAAATCCTCTATAAGATACAGTACAACGCTTTCTGGAGTGACGTTAGAACTATTTTCTTTCCCTGCATATACTTTGAAATTGTAAGTATATCCAGATCCAGAACATACTTTAAAAATGTTTACACCATATTTGTGTCTTTTTGACTTAATGTACTGTTTAAACTCCAAGCGTCCCCTTAAGGGTAATAGGGTTTCATTGATACAGACATATTCTTCTGGCACGTATAAAGACTTAAAATTTGCAGTCAGAATGTCGACAAACAAGTGGCTTTAACTTATACAGTTTATCACTTGTATCTGCCAATAAATTATCATTAAAGTGAAATATCGTTAACAGCATCTCGAATCGACTTCTAGACATTACATTCTTTGCAAAATTATTATGGAACAGGTTATCGTTACTCCAATAGTCTGCGATTTTCGGCATTTTCACTAAACCCATCCAGGCAACCAGTCCTACAAATTTTCTAATTTCAATATTTGTCGTTGGAATCCAGTCATGTAAGCGAGAGCTTGGTGTTGCGTCAGCAGCCAGTACAGACTGATTTGCATATATATTGGTTTGGTTACAAATCAGACTAATTACTCTGAGATCGATGACAGCATCAAAAAAGTCTCCAGGCGTACCATTTGCCAACATTGGAGCTACTTCATCATTTACTTCTGACGGAATAGAAAAAGGTGCTATTAGCTTATAATTACCTACTACTAGAAACCAATTTGGTTTTATATTCGGTACTGGATCTTTACTAAGTTGTGGATCTAAGTTCGGTTCTTAATCGAATATTGAATTTATGTTCGGTCCTGGATTGATATTATCGTGAACATGACGAGTAGGTTTTGAATCTAATTTTATTTTTTTTCTCTGTAAAAACTTTCGTACTTTTTCCACCGTTTCTTCTGAATCTGACGAATCTGATTCTTCTTCTGAACTACACAGGTACTCACTATCAGAAGCTTCGAATGGTTCATCATCGTCATCGGAAAGTTCTCCAAAATTTATTGCAATCTTTTTTAATTCACGCTCTGTCAGATGTTTAGAACGTTTAGAAATCTAAAATTACACAATGTGTTGTAAAAATATTGTATTTTAAACATTATTTAATACTTACAGCAATTTATTCTTTCAATTTATTGAAATGAAAAACAATCAACAAGAGCAATAGAGAACGCGTATTTGTTTATTTATGTTAGGTTGGGTTTACTGCGATGGACCAACGGCGCACAGAAGCATTAGTACGGTTCACTGGGCCGTGTTGTCCCGATGGGACCAACACATTTGTTATATGTCTTATAGACGCACTTAAAAAAAGGAATAGTTGGCTCACGGCTATTTTTTGCCATGTCCGCTTTTTCTTTGTCGTTCCTGTTTTTACATAGTATTGTAGGTGAGGTATGCCTAGGATGGCATACCTAACTTCACCTCTCGTTTTTTTTTTATTAAAATGCATGATCATATTTGTTACAATTTTTTTTCTAGTTCAGTTGAATGGGGAAGGTAAATTTCTATATTAAAAAATTTAAATATTAGAAATGTCACGTGTACCATCATAGGCACATTCCTTCTTATGATGGCATGGTTGCACAGTATAATAAAAAAAATATGTTTTAGTCGAATTTAGAGAGAACAATAATACAACAAATAAAAAAGTAACACACATTAAAACAATTAAGAACATAAATCACAATAAAATATGTTACATTTTTTATTGACCTCAGCGCATTCAGAGTGACACCAGGATTGGCGCTGCTGACATTTAATCCAGCATTCTTTCGACTTTGAGAGGGAATACAGGCCATTACAATACAAGCAATCGACGTCGGAATCATCACCTTCAAAATTTTCGTTATCACTCGCGGATTCCTGTTCCTTCTCATCATTTCTCTCTATGCCTTCTTTTGCCATTCGGTATAATGTTCATTTTTCAGGAAAAGTGTCATCCATAGATTTCCGTTCTAATCCACTGTTGTACGTAGCTTTTCCTTTAGGTTTTATCTTCTGTTTCATTTGTCTTTTAACTTTGCCAGCTTTCTTCATTCTACATTTTCTTTTTCAACAACCTTATCTTTCAATTCTTGAATTTCAGGGGTTGAATTTATTACCCCTGTTCTTCCACGCTTCATTTGTTATTTTTTTTGTATTTGACTGCGAAACACTTTGAATGGGTGATAAATCTTGGATTGCATTTTTGTTCTTGGGCGATGTTGCATTTTTTATAGCATTGATACAACTCAAAATTGTAGCGCTTGCGCCATATCCCGCTTTCT